AGTGGCAGCAGTGGGCAGCAGGCCACAAGACCACAGCAGGCCATGAAAGCAGCCTGTGCCAGGCAGGAAGCTACACAGCCGCTGAGAGACAGAGACCTATTAGGCATGCCATGCAGAGAAAGTGGGTATTTATTTAGTGGGTATTGGAGGGGTATTGGAAAGGGAGAAGGGAGAAGAGCAGAGAGAGAGGCAGAGTACTGCAGCCCTCTGAGACCATGGAGTTGCATCCTCAGATAAAGAATGTCTTGAAGCATAAGGGAGCCCAGCGATGGGAGACAGCCTGGGAGCCCTGTATACAAATTCTGAATCCTCAGTGTTTGACTCTGAGGACCCAGGTCTTAAACTCAAAATTCATTGTAGTAAATGAAGCATTTCCCATGGTTATCTCAGGCCATGTAGCCCAGAAAACCTAAAGTGCCGCAGATTGCTCCCCACATCAGTCAGGGCGTGTTCCCTTTGCTGTTGTTACACCTGCTCCTCTCTGGGGTGTCCTGGGTGAGGCATCCCCTAAGAGAATGGGCCTCCAGCACTCACCCATTCTCCTGTCCTGGCCCTCAACTCAAATCACCCTATTTGGGCCTAACAGCTACTCTTTGAGTCAGAATGAGCAAAGAAGCATTATTTTATTTTTGACAACGTAATAACTGCACAGGTTCGAAAATGCAGCCAAGCTTAAAATAAAAGGAAAACTCTCTGCCTGTGCCAAGCCTCTGATACAAACCCCAAGAGGCAGATTGACTACTTGATGTTCTTTTGGAACCTTTCCTTATAACTTGCCTAGGTCATTTGCCTGAAAATATGCCTATTCATTTGAGACCAAATCTGTCCAACTCTGGCCTTAAAAAACAGTGAGTGACTAGTCTGGGCACAAACCTACTCCACTATAAGATATCCGGGGGCCGTGAGCACCAGCCTCAGTACCCCCTCAGGGCTCAGAATTAGATGTCTGTGGCAGGCAAGGATCTGAGGGAAAAAAAAAAAAAGAACTCAAATATGTTACCTCTCCATGTTCTTTATTTTTCGTGCGAGGGGAGAAAGTGACGTCAAAGGGTGCGGAGAAGAATAACAGAAAGAATAAGGAGAAGAAAGAAGGAGGCCAGGGAAGAAGCAGAAGTAGCAAGGGGAAGTAAGGAGAAGTAGTAGAAGTAGTGAGAGGAAAAAGGAGAGTGGGAGTAAAGGCTGCTCTCCGCGAGGTTTCCAGTTTTTACAGACGCAGTTGGAAAATTCCTTAGGCAAAGACAGTGATAATACGCATATCAAAATCACAAAGGCGGGCAGGTAGAAGCTTACAAAGCAGGACTCCAGAACAGGTGACCGGACCCAGGAAAGAGCCAGCATTCAAGGGGAAGTACCTGACATTCCAAACCATTAGATAAAGTTACCAGATGTCCCAGAATCCTGGATCCACCCGTTCTCCTCGCCCGGTCTCTTTTGTGATAACCAGCTTTGGGAACACCCAGATTTGTTAGCAGAGGTGGGGGCATGCTGCCTTCCTGCTGAGTGCCTGTCTTCTATAGAAATTTCTATGTGGTTTGTAAAGTAATTTTGTGGGATTGACTCTATGTAAATTTGTTAGAACAAAGAGTGAATGCCACCCCTCCAAGGCCTCCTGGTGTGGGGGAATGGAGCAAGGTTGCTCTATTGCCTGTGGAGAAGTCATACTGCTGAGGTGTTTTGGGAACGAATACCATTTCAAAGGGAAGAATCATGGCTTCACAAGGTTTCCACAGATATGACAGTGACTTTTCCAAAAGACAAGTGTTCCCACAGCTCTGCAAAATGGATTATTCCATGAGTACTTGTACGTATACACTTCCTGTGGACCTGCCTATTGGTCTGCCAGCTGTGCGTTCACTGTAGTCTTGTGGGCTCCAACAATATGATATTTCTATTTTAATAAGTCTCCTAGCTGTCTCTTCACTGGAACCACTGCCCGGGGCATTGGAGCAATAGGTTCCAAGCTAAACCTTTGGCCAGAATTCACCCGGACTGTGGAGGCCCTTGAGAAAGACGTTAGCTTTGTTAAGAATAGCTGATAAGTCTGGAAAGTTAAAGAAGGCAGAAAATAAGAAAATCAGTGTTTGGTCCTTCAAAAGGAAATGTGAGCCCCGCCGTGGTTTACCGTCTGACAGTTCCAAAACAAGTCCGCTGTTGGAGACTTGAGGTTGTTCTCTAAATAACACTCGCCAAGGAAGTGGAAATTTGGCTTAGTTGACGGAAACCGCTTCAAGAGATCCAAAAAGGGCTCTGAATGGAATGATTTCCAGGAGAAAGCAGCCATTGTCTGGGCCTGGAGAGCCATTAAAAAAGGGGGGAAAGACCACAATGGCCACATTGGCCAAGCCTAAAGAGAATGTTTTGGAACTAGGAGCAGTAAACACTGCCCAAAACTGTCAGAGAGAAAATTTCAAGAACATTGTGTACTGTGGACATGGTGCTGTTCGAGGCAGGAAGATTCCAAAAAGCAGCTCTGCGGAGAAAGCTCTCAGGACAGAGGGCCATTGTAAGGGCCAGTGACTGGGGAAAAAACTTCGAGGGTCTCAGCTATGGCTTGTGCCTTATTTAAAATGAAACTAAAGTTGTTACCAATAAAGAAAGAGCTCAGGACTTGTTCTGACACTGGAGAGGGGGCATGTGGGTGGGTATGTTTTATTAGCCAACGGGTACAAGGTGCTGTGAAAGGCCACACAGAGTTTAAATGTGGCATCTGACCATGTCATAGGAGAGAAACAGAGGCAGAAGGAAAGACTGAAATCTTTGCAAAATGCAAACTTTTCGATAAATCACGCCCCGCCCCCTGGTCTATACCCCTTCTCTCCTTTCTCTGCGGCTTTACCACAGGCCTCCCCAGCCATGATATTCTGCCTCACCAATGAAAGCAGGGGGGTCAAGCAGCCACTGACTGAGAGTTCTGAAGCTGTAAGCAAACAAGTCTTCCCTCTTTCTAAGGTGTGCATCTCGAGTGGTTTGCCACGACAGACAGACAGACAGACAGACAGACAGCCAACATAGAGCTTTTCAAAGGGAACTGTGCAGTTTCATTATCCAGAATTAGTTTTATTGAACTCTGATCTCAACCTGAATTAGACCAAAAGTCTGAACTAAAACCACATGACAATGTATATGTCTAGTTCTTTTTTTTAAGATTTATTTTTTTATTATGTATACAATATTCTGCCTCCATGTATGCCCGCACGCCAGAGGAGGGCGCCAGATCTCAGTACCGATGGTTGTGAGCCACCACGTGGTTGCTGGGAATTGAACTCAGGACCTCTGGAAGAGCAGCCAGTGCTCTTAACCTCTGAGCCATCTCTCCAGCCCCTATGTCTAGTTCTTAACCTGCATCCACAGCATCCCGGGAAACCTGGTAAAAGGTGGCTGAGTCCTACGAGCCCCCGACTCCAGCATCCTCCTGCACGTCTATTCTGCATCTTAGATACTTTGGAGCCATGAGAACTTATTTGTAACCTACCTGATGATGAAGGATTAATGCTTGAACCAGGGACAATTTCCCTGTAATCAGCAATGGGGATAAACATGACAGAGACTGTGGAGTGTCTGTCCTGAGGGGCATTCTGTCAGTGCCACGCTCACCACATCACCTTCGCTTTCACAGTTCCCTGAGGGGGATAATTCTGATTTTATGGCCACGGAAACTGAAGTTAACATAAAGTAAAAGATCCCAGAGCTATGAGAGAGACTCAAACTCCTGTGCATCTAATACCAAAGATCTTATTGCCTTCTTTGCCTCCTGCTATTGCCTCTAGAAACTGCATTGTATTTACCCAGAAAAATCACCTAAACACTCCAGTCTCTCCAGATGGGTCCACTGATGAAACAGTTTTCTTCATGGTCAACCCACATCTCTCACAGGTTCCCAGATTCACAGTCCTGTTCACCCCAGTGTCTCGCCTCGCTCTCCAGAGTGAATGACTTGCTTGTAATTTCAACTTCCCAGGAAGACAAATGCCTTGAAAGATAAAACCTAGGTTCCTAAAAGGGCAGAAGACTGAACCTCGTGTGCTATAATGTGGACATGGCTTTTCCCCATAGCGACTTACAGTGAGACTCAGGTTCCCACTTCGCCCGTGGGAACAAGGCCTCGGTATTAGTCAAAGGAGTGATTCAGACGTGTCTTCCCAGTTAGCTGCTTGGATTGGAGACTATGACCATCTCTCCAGAAATCCCACCCAGAAATTGTATTTCCTGAGCTGTAATGATCCGGACCACAAGAGGGCACCAGCGCCCACAGAACAGGCACATTCCTCACCACCCCGAGGGATCTCTTCCCCCTCTGGTCCCCTACTCTAGGTGCAAATGCCCACCCCTCTGTTGAACCCCACAAGGAGATGGCTCTGACGTGCTAGCTAGGATGAGGCACAGTGGTGGAGCGGCACACCCCTGGGACTAAGAAACCGGATTTAGGGAGATTGGATCCCGCCACTCTAGACACCTCAAGGCCTGCAACATCTCCCAGGGCCCTGCAGAAGAATGCCTGCTCCGGCTGGGGCGCAGAGGAACATTCCTTGGGAATGTCAAGTCAAGAGCGGAGACAACTGACATCAATTCAAGAGGCTCCAATTCTCTCTTATCAAAACGCTCATCTTCTCACACACCTTAAATCTGTCTTTTCCTGGGTTATTGTCTCCTCCAGTGGCCCGCCCAGAAATGACCTTTCCCTAAAACCTGGTGTCAGCATAAATCTTTCAGCCCCTTCCTGTAAAGCAACACGTGAAGGAGGCTCTGCTGCACACTGAGAGGCACAGGAAACAAGCGTGGCTAGACTCAGATCAGGGGCCCCTCTGCCTCTCCCTTGCTTGTTCTCCCCAAACCACCTGCCTGGCCCCTTTTGCTCCATCCAGGACAGGAGGCGAAAGAACAGTTTTGCCTGGGAGAGGTGGTACCAAGTGGGGGAAGGAACTTCCTGTGATGGCAGAGAGGAGGCCCTGAGGGAGGAGTTTGGGCCCAGGAAATGAACTTAAGGGTTAGACCTAAGCAAGTAGGGCTGTAAAAGCTGAGACAGTGGCAGACCTTACAGGAGGCATACCGTGCGCAGCTGGGAAGATGGCTCTGTCTTCGGCATTATGGTTACTTCTCTTGGGTTTCCAAGCCCAGGGAGCTCACACATGGTGTTCGGAAAAGGATAAACTCTACATTGATAAGCCAGTCAGTGACCCTGACGTAGTGAAGTTTGCTGTGAGTGCATTCAACAGTCAGAACAAGGACGAGTATGCCTACAGAACGATTCACATCATGGGTTTCTCAAAGGTACAGGTGGGTGACCTTGTCTACTACAGTTCCTGTTTCCTGACGGAGCCGGCAAGACAGTCTCTTAGACATTTGCAGTCTGTGGTTGAGTTATATATGACAAATCAGTTGTTCTCAGTGGTTTAGAATGCTTTTTTAGCTTATACATTCTTTTAAATTAGGTCTACTCACATAAGAAGATCTGGATATTTATGTCAAAATAATAATAATAATTAATAACTTTAGAATAGGTGCACCTAGGGAGATATTTCTACCGAGTAAGAAAATATTTGCACAAAAGTTCCACAGACAAAGACTGAAAATATGTCAAATCACAATTTAAGATTTTTGCTAGTGTATATTTACCGTACACAATAATAGGCTTTGTGTGACGGCTCATAAATGCATATAGTGTATTTTCACAATATCCATCTCCCATTTCTCTCTCTCTCTCTCTTTCTCTCTCTCTCTCTCTCTCTCTCTCTCTCTCTCTCTCTCTTTCNNNNTGTCCCTCTCCCACCCTTGTTTATTTCTTTCCTCTTCCCAACTCATACCTTTTCTGCTTGTCTATCTTTTTTTGTTATTGATCAAATGAGTTTAATTAGGGGTACTTACAGGAACATGGTCAGGTTTTCTTTAGAGGAACATGGACAACTTACAAAGATACTCAAATGGTAAAGCAATTGGCGGGCTGGGAAGATGGCTCCGCCAGTAAAATGCTTGCCAGATAAACGGAGAGATGATAGTTGGGATCCCCATCACCCATGTGAAAAGCCTGACTCACAGATGCACACGTGTAATCCTAGCGCTGGGAAGGCAGAGATAGGAAGGTCTGGAGAGGTACTGGTTTTGACCAGCCTAGTCTAGCTGGGCTTCAGTTTCGGTGAGATATCCTGCATCAAAAAGTAAAGAGAAGAGCTGCTGAGAAAAATTTCTGGTGTTGCTCTAGGCTCCATGCACACACATGTGCACACACATGCACACAAATGAGCAATTACAAAAACTGAGAGAGTGAACAAAAGAGTAGGCAGTGAGGACTCACCAGCTGTCTTGTGGCCAGGGACAAGCTAATTGACTTGGGAGCCACCTGCCGGCTCAGTTCCTTCTCTCAATTCCCTCTTACTCTGGGCCCCTGGCAGACTCACTCATCTCATTGACCATATCAGACCATCTTCTTCATCCTAAAATGATCTCTGGTAATGGGATGCCTACAGAATGTCCTTAAGATGTCAATACTATCTTCTAATGTCACCCTTGTGGTCATGGGTAAGGGATACTTTGTTCTTCCTTCCTCAGCAGAAGAAAGGCAGAGGGGTTTCAGCCCTACACAGCGCTGTGACCTCTGGGACCCTCTGCAGAGCACTAGATGACTCTGTTGTCTGAGCTCTCTTGGGCTGGAGTCTCACCTGTGGACTATGGCTATGGATTAGCTATAGGCAGGATTGGCCTTGTGGGAAGAAAGAATGGGAAGGATGAGAGGCTAGGGAAAGGATGAGGGCGAGACAGTGGGAAAACGCAGGAGGAGGTTTCTAGAGCACACATTATAAAAACTTATCCCTAAAGCCACCATTTCGATCCTGTGTGCTGGTGCACAGTGACTGAAACACGAGCATTTTCTTGATGGAGATCAGGTGACAGTTGTGACAGTATACTGCATTTCTGGCTTCATCTCTTCGGGCTGACTTACCAGCAGAACAACTACCCTCCCAGAGCCTGTCCTCTAGGAATTCAGGTATTGGTTCCGACACCTATTGAGAGTTAAGCTTAGGCCTCATTTGGTAGAGTAGAATGTGGACACTTGAGGCAGATGATATATTAGTGGTATATGACTCAGCCTGTGACTTCACCTAGCTTCTACCAGACTGCCACCTCTGAACTCTTAACTCTCCAAGGTAGAGACTATGCCCTTGACTTTCACCTCCATGAAAGAGATGCCAGGCCTTGGAAAGCTCCAAATTCAGGAGACAGTCCAGGTCTCTCCCCCATACTGACCACAGACCTGAGGCCGGTGTATAAACAGGCAGCAAGAAGGGTCTTCTCATGTCAGGCTTTTTCTCTCTTCAGGAAAAGCTACCAGCAACTTTCCTCGTGAAGCTGAGGCTGAGAAGGACCATCTGTAAGACATTTGAGGATAGCCTGGACACCTGCCCCTTTCAGGATGACCCTGAACTGGAAAAAGTAAGGCGGGGCACCAGCATCCACCCCTTTCACAGTTGTGGGTGCTGCCAGGGAGAGAGGGGGGTGCAAGAGCAGATGACAGAGAGATCCTTAAAGACCCAGGAAGTGACCAGTGGTGAATTTCCCAGAATTTCTTCCTAAGCCTTAATGAGAAAAGAGTCCCAAAAGGCAGGCAGCCTGGGTACAGAGGCCTGGCCAACCTGTGCCCCCAACTCTGCCCACTCCCAGTATTAGCTGCCTGTTCCTTGTTGATGTCAAGGCTTCATGATGCCCATGCATCTTGGGCATGAGTAGCAATTGCTCATTGTTTGGTGGTCACCCTCCTCTCCTGGATTCAGGGGAAAGAACCTAGTGAATTCTGATGCTATATTAGGGACCCTTCACTGACATACAGCCTGAAAAAGGAGTGAGAGAAGGGGCCCCACTGTCTGCACTTCAGAACCTATGCCCAGCAGAAGGACCAGCAGCTTTTCTGAGGGACAATGAGAATGGCAATCTAATTCTTGGGATAATGCCATCCAGGGCTGGTAGACTCCCATCAAGAAAAATTAGTAGCTTGACTAATGACTTATGTCTGACAGTAGTCAACTCCTTCTGGAACAGAGCATCCCCTACTGTTTCCTGGGAGCTTGCATCACACAGTAACAGTCCAGAAGTTCTTCTGTGGGTCACTTATTTATTGGGTAAGGACAATCACCCAAATGCCTCTGTATCAAGAGAAAGCCCAGATGCAGACAGTTCACCACTCAAGCAGAGTTTGAGTTGGTGGTTACACCTGTAGATCAAAGGCCAAAATCTTCCAACTGCTGGTCAAGAAAGGGATAAAGTTGAGTAGACAGGATCCTGACAATAAACCACAGGCTTCCTGAGCCTCCTCCATCCCCTGTTCTATTTTGATTGCTCCCTTAGACCTTCATCTGCTCCTTCACCATCAGCACCCCACGCTCAAAACAGTTCAACATGTTGAAAAATACTTGTTCTACGGGGCTTCCCTGACTGGGACCCACAGCACTGGTCCACGCCTGCTCCTTTTTCTGAAGATGCCTGATGTTCCTAGGAAGCAGCAAATACAGGCTTAAGAAGCTCTATGCTTTTTGCAAGTGCCTGGGATTTTATGTGTTTATTTCACGTCTCGTCTCTTTATTTTCTGGCTCCTACATTTTTTTTCTGTTCCTTCTTCCACAATGTTCTCTGAATTTTAGAGATTCCTTTCTAAAAATTATTATTATTAATGTGTATTTGTGTGTAGTATGTGTATGTTCATGTGCCTAAGAAGGTCAGAGGTGTCCCCTGGAGGTGAGGATACAGAAGACACAATCATTCCAAAGACAAATGCAGCATCTGTGGATGTCTTCCCTGAGTCTACACAGGTACCATCCCATCAGCAGTCAGTCATGGACAGAAGGACTCAGAGAACCTACTCTTCACTGATGAACTATTAGGAGACGAAGAATCATCGCATTTAGTTGTGTACCTACTGACGACTCCCTCAAACTCCAAAAGATAGTCCCAATCCAAGTGTCATACAAAGTTCCCTGATAAACTAGATGGTCACAAAACAAAGCCATGGGTCACGAGTCTGGTAAAAATGTGGGGATGGTGGAAAGGTGGGGTATTAACAGGGATGAGAGGAAGATAAGGATAAGGGAATCAGAATACGTAGAACACAGGCAAAAAATTTCAAATAACAAAATCAGTAAAAAGAAAAATTTGTAATCTACTCTACCAATAAAATAAAAACCAGAAATTACCTCAACATGTTCACCGAGCTAAAACTCTAGCTGCCTTGAAAATAATGCTTTTCAAAGATATAAAAAAAAACCCTACAATTGCCCAGAACCTTTTTATTACACTCTGTCTCCAGAAAATAAACACGTAGGCCCTCCTCTCACAAAGTGCACATAGAATCAACTACTTAGCCATTGAAATATGGTGTCTCTTCAGCTTTCTTCTCCTTTCAGTCTATAAAATCTTGTTGTTCATGATGCGTATGCTGGCTAGCTTACATTAACTTGACACAAGCTAGAATTATTTGGAAAAAAAAAAAAGGAACCTCGATTGGGAAAATGTTTCCATAAGATCCGGCTTTGGGGCATTTTTAAAATTAATGATTGATGAGGAAGGGTCGAACCCACTCTAAGTGATATCATCACTGGGCTGGCGGTCCTGGGTTCTCTAAGAAAGCAGGCTAAGCAAGTCAGTAAGCAGCACTCATTAGTGACCTCTACAACAGCTCCTCTCCCTGGGTCCTGCCCTGTTTGAGTTCCTGCCTTGGCTTCCTTTAATGGGCTGACTGTGACTTTGGATATGTAAGTCAAAAAAAAAAAAAAAACATTTCTTCTCCAAGTTGCTTTTGGTCATAATGTTTAATCACAGCAATAGTAACCCTAATAAAGACAATGGTAGAACATAGCTTTGTCATTGGACATTCCTGATGCATATAATATATGTATGTATATTTGTGTGTGTGTGTGTTCTTCTTTGCCCAAGTGAAGGCTACAAATTTTATTTCTAAAAGTTTTCTTTATCTTAGTTTTTCATCAGATGTGAGATCCCCCATCAAGTCCCCCTCCCTCGTCAGCCTGAAGAGCAATCAGGGTTCCCTGTCCTGTGGGAAGTCCAAGGACCACCCACCTCCATCCAGGTCTATTAAGGTGAGCATCCAAACTGCCTAGGCTCCCACAAAGCCAGTACGTGCAGTAGGACCAAAAACCCATTGCCATTGTTCTTGAGTTCTCAGTAGTCCTCATTGTCCGCTATGTTCGGTGAGTCCAGTTTTATCCCATGCTTTTTCAGACCCAGTCCAGCTGGCCTTGGTGAGTTCCAATTGTCTCAGTGTGTGGGTGCACCTCTCTCAGTCCTGAGTTTTTTGCTCATGCTCTCTCTCCTTCTGCTCCACCTGCAGTGATTTGATAATGGAATATTATATAAAAATTCCGAGTGACTATTAGCTGGTAGTCTGGGACACAAAAGATGCCACCCCCAGAGGACAGTCTGTTGGAACCCTTTAGAATGGGTAGTTTTCTCTGGGAAATTTGACAGTCAACTGTTCCAGTGAGCATTTCCAGGTCTCAGTAAGTAGGAAGAAAGAAGACAACGTAGATTTGAGATTTTTTTTTGGTAATTTTTTAAATTTATTTATTATGTATACAATGTTCTGTCTCTGTATGTGCCTGTAGGCCAGAAGAGGGCACCAGACCCCATTACAGATGGTTGTGAGCCACCATGTGGTTGCTGGGAATTGAACTCAGGACCTTTGGAAGAGCAGGCAATGCTCTTAATCGCTGAGCCATCTCTCCAGTCCCTAGATTTGAGATTCTAACAGCTTGACTGTCACTCAAAAGCTGAGCATTGCTCAACTCCTGCTAATTTTTACTACAAATCACAGAGGTGTTATCAAGCAGGTACAAGTCTCTCTTTTCTTGGGAATGTTTGGGAAAATAGCCTTTCTCTCTTGGCATCAATGTAATGAGGTGATTTAAAAGAAAATACTAGTTTCCATGCTATACTGCAAAGATTATAACTGTACAACAAACAGTTGTGAATTCTCTTGCTGGAATTGTTTAAAGTAACAGAATTGCCTAGGACGACGAAGGATCCAGAAGCTCTGAGCTGACAGGGCATCAATGCTAGTTAGGGTGACAACTGGCAATGGGCTGGCATTTGAGTGAGTCCCAGAACCACCCAGAGGGCTCTTACGAAGGTTTTGGAACCCGAGATCAAGAATTACCTAAACCACAACATGCTCATGTCAATAGCACATCCTGTTGAAACGCAGCCACTCTTCCTTGATCATGCAGGGTTTATAACTGCATTCTACATATGAGATCAGCTTAGTGGAATGAGGAACCACGGGGATCACAAAGGCCATGGAGGTGACTGTTAATGTCGACAAACCTTGTTGAGGCATGGCCTGAGGTGGGCTTAGGTCACTAGTTGTTGCAAAGTATCACAGTTCATTCTACAAGTAGACACAGACCCTGTGCTGTGGGAGTGTGAAGTCTTTCTGGGCTTAACTTGCACATTCTTTTTTCAGGACAGAGTTTCTCTGTGTAACAGCTCTGGCTGTCCTTGGTCTCACTTTGTAGACCAGGTTGGCCTCAAACTCACAACTTACAGACATCTGCCTGCTTCTGCCTCTGCCTTCTGAGTGCTGGGATTAAAGGCATGCCCTGCCACAGCCCAGCTCTCTTGCATATTCTTGTCTGGGTGATCGCAAATGCTTGATGGTATTTGATCATGCTGCTGAGGCTTGTTGTCCTTGGTGCTGCCTTGGAGACTCGCAAAACTCCTCTCTGGCTGTAGAAAGTTTCTTCCTAATCACAGAACCATAAGAACACTAAGCAACTGGTGACAATTCAAGAATTGTGTTGTCAGGGCTAAAGAGGTAGCTCAGTGGTTAAGAGCATTGGCTGTTGCTCCACAGGACCTGGGTTCAATTCTCAGTACCCATATGGTGTCTCACATATATTTTTAACTGCAGTCTTAGGCAATCTAAAGCCCTTTTCTGGCCTGCCCAGGCACCAGGCACACAGACTGTTATATAGATATACATGCAGGTAAAACCCATGCACATAAAAAATAAATGTGATAAAACAAAACAAAAGTAAAAAGCAAATGTTGTCCTTGAACCATGTGTGGTATTCTGATGACCTGAGTTCCTGGTAATGGTGAGGACTCATTGGCTATGACTGAAGATGTCTTGGTGACAGAGCTGGAATGGTGGAGTACTGTCTCCATCTCCCAGGTGATAGAGACACACAAAGATTAGTCAACTTGTTGCTTCGGTGCAATAACTAAGAAAGTCATCTTAAAGGGGGAAACTTTATTTGACCTTAGAGTTTTGAAGCTTTTAGTCCACGGTTTGTTAGTTTGGTACTTGTGTGGTTTTGAGGAGGTAATACATCATGTAGGAACTTATATCTAGACAATGCTTCTAAATTCAAAGGAAATTAGGACACAAAAAGAAAACAAAAGATTGATGTCCACATATCTCTTATAAGTAAGTATCCCCATGATCTAGCTTTCATCACTAGGTTCCAGCTCTTAAGGTTCTACCACCTTCTGACCTAAGCCTGGGACAAGCAAGGTATAACAGGTGATGGTTTAGATATTGGCCTGAAGAGCTGGGCCTAGCCCATGTCTATAGGGTCATCCTGAAAACAAACCTGCTAACATGGTTGGGGACAATGGAATCTATCAGAATAGGCCTATTTGCTGGAACATGATGGACCCATGATTCTTGTTCTGCTGGGGTCAAGATAAAGCTTAGATCATGGAAGAACAGCCTAGAAACTGGGGAAGGTTTGTAGCTCTGATCACTAGGGACAACCTGGCCGACATGGTATGCCAGATTCTCCTTGGGTTGTTCTAGACTCTATAACCAATAAAAGCATCCTTACTCAGAGTGGGGCTAGAATCCCAGACTGTGGGCCTGCTTGGTACTGAGGTTGGTGTGCAATATGGCTGTACTTGGAAGTCACCAAGGCAAATCTATTGTTGGCATCCGAAGCAGATTATAGTCCTCTCTCACCACCAGAGAGAACATTCGTTTCCTGAAGATGGGGACAGTTGAAAAGGGTGATGTAAAACTGTCATTCCTGGTGAGCGTGTCTCCTTTTATTTCTGCGCTTACCTTAGGTGCTAAAATTTCACCTGATGTCAGAGCATTTGTGAGGATGTGTTCACATGCCCACCCTTGCTCAAACTGAGGTTTCTACGATGAATACTATGAAGCCCTCTCTCACCAGCTAGGTGATGTCATGCAGAGATTATTAAGATTTAGTTTACTTTTAATGATGTGTATGGGAGTATGTGCAGATGTGGGTACAGGTGCCCTCAGAGCCCAGAAGAGGGTCCTGAAATTCAAATTCAGGTTCTCTGTAAAAAGCAATACATGCCCTTAATTGTTCTCTCTCTAGCCCAGAGTCCAGTGATTTTTAGTTAGCGTTTAAGTGTCCTTGTTAATAATCTTGGGAATTGAGTTTTCCAAACTCTATATTCTTAACTATTTTTATGGACACCTTGACTGATTAAGAAATTAAGTAATCAGCAATTCTTTAGCAAATCTAAACCCTACTTGCTCATTTTGTCACCAGGGAATCATGAAAGCCACTCTCTGAAGATCAGAGGCTGCACACATACGCTAAGGTAAGAGTGGCTGAAGATCTACCTGGGCCCTGTATGGATATTTGATACCCTGGGAGACCACAGCCCTTGTGCTTCCTGACTTTGTGACAGCAATTCTGATACATCTTAGTTACTTATGTCTCCTTTGTTCCCCCATCAGGAGCGTCAAGGTTAGGGGAACATCTTAGAAACTCAAACTGTCCCCACCACCAAGCCCATGGTTCTTCCTCTAAAAACACACGCGGAAAGTTGTCAGAAATGCAATATTTAATGAGCTATTCTAAATGATGAAACAAGAGCAATATGAAATTTTCTTGGTTATTATCGGCATACTCAGTCTTGGCACTACACAATGTTACCAAACAAGGGACATGAGCACACAGAGGCCCTGCCAAGGATAACCTCTTCATGATGACTCCAACCTGAGGAACTATGAGCACTCATGCTTGTAGAGCTTGAACTCTGTTACCCAGAAAAAGGTACCAACAGTGAACAGGCAGATGAAGGTCTGAGGGAAAAGAATAAGAGAAGACATTGAAAGGAGACGGTGAAGGAAGTTTGTGGCTTGTGCTTCAAATAGCATCCATTTCACCCTTTCACTTCCATAGGCCAATAGGTAGTAGAAGGAGACGAGGGCCTTTGGACATGATTATCCAGTGAACCCTTGGCAAGTGTTGACCCATATCTTGATCGAAAGCCCCATGGTAACCCAGGACACTTGCTTCCATTCCATGGGCAGCAGACAGTGACCTACAGGCAAATATCTAGGATGTCCCTGTGTGATTCACATACCTAACAGTAATGAAGCACCCTGCTAGGATTACCAACTGTGATGGCTGGTTTCAACTATCAACCTAACATGATCTAGAATCATCTGGGATGATGTGGGATTTCCCTCTGTATGTTGTGATGACCATTGGTTAACAAAGAAACGGTCTTGGGCCTGCGCAAGGAACAGAGCTAGGTGGGGAAAACTAAACTGAAGAAGGAAGAAGGCAGAAGGCAGAGTCAGAAAGAAGCCATGTAGCCCACTGGAGATAGACACTAGGAACTTTAACTGGTAAGTGACAGCCACGTGGTAATACACAGATTAATAGAAATGGGTTAAATTAATATGTAAGAGTTAGCCAATGAGAAGCTAGAGCTAATGGGTCCAGCATTGATTTAATTAATACAGTTTCTGTGTGGTTATTTTGGGGCTAAGCTGCCAGGAACAAACTAGAAGCATCCTTATTACAAATCTGGGAAGATTGTTTCAGTGAGGGATGACCTAGATCAGGTAGGCCTGCAAGAATGTTGGTAAGGGATTGTCTTGATTACATTAATTACAGAAAGACCCAGCCTACTAGGGGCGGCACTATTTCCTGGGTTTGGAACCTGCACTGCATTCAAGTGAGAAAAGGAAGCTAAGTACTAGAAACTTGTGTCCATTCATTTTTTTCTCTGCTTGTGACCATAGATGTCTCATGACTAACTGCCCAGTTCCTACTGTCCCAGTCCGTCCCTGTAGCCCTCACAGCTGTAAAAACCATGGAGGTGTGTGCCCTGCCTTACATTATTTGGACTGTAGCTCTGCTGAAAGTGGCAAGTGTCAAGGCTTTCCTCAAATTTCTTGCACACGGTTCTACGCAGCTGAAGCTTCATGGAGTAAACAGTTGGAAAATTCACCTGCACACAGAAAAAAAATTAAAGTGAACAGACCCTTCTAGCCACTTAAGAGACTCTGTGACTGTGCTCAGTGTGTGTTCCAGCTTCTTCTTCATTTGGAGTTCTTCCAAGGCCTGGTGTCAACTTTATGGAGACAGAAGCCAGGGAGGCAGTCTCTAGATTAGAGAGTTAAGAACCCAAAGTGGAAGAACCTGTTGGAAAGCAGAAACGTCAAGGCTGAGTCCATTATCTCCAGTCCCTGTAACCCACATTCTGCCATAAAAACCCAGACTTCACTCTCAGCAGACACCTGAACTTACACCTGCATTCCCAGAGAACTCAGGACATGCTCTGGCAGGGTGGTGGCTTTACCAGTGCTTCCTGGATAGTCAGCCCTGACACAGATCTCCAGATACTTTTTCAATTGAGCTATTAGTAACACACCTGCAGTGCAAGCTCAGCCCAGAGCAGTGTTTTAGGAGAAGCCTTGTTCCTTTTACAGTGTGTGCTTCTGAAAACCACTTAGATGTTGAGCAGTGATCTCAGAGGCCTCAGCGCTGGGCAGGGTTAGAGGCCCTCGGCCTTTCCCTTGCCAGGGAAGGAGAACTGAGTGCCCCTCCCTCACAGCCAGAAGTGCAGCACTGGAGATGAGCGTTGCTATCCTCACCGCATTCTGTAAGGGCGTTATAGGAAGATAAAGAGGGTCTGATGTGGTCAGTGGGAAGAGTGGGCCAGCCAGGGGCCCAGAGCAGGAGGGAATTGAGAAGAGGAGCTGTCTGGTGCTCTCTGTCTGTGCTCCATGATTCCCCAGCCTCTTTTCTGTTTATCTTTGTTTTACTTTATCCATTTTTTTTTTTTTACCAATTACTGTTTTGGTTTGTTTGTTTTAAATTTTGTGTCTGACTTATTTTTCAGCTTCACCTACCAGCACCTTTATGTGTGTGAATCTTTCACATACTGAGTGGTTTATCTGCTTAAAAATGTCTGTTCTGGGGCCAGTGAGATGCCTCATCAGGTAAAGGCACTTGTCACCAAGGATGACAGCCTGATCTCAATATCCAATGTTTACATGGTGGAAAAAGAGAACCAACTCCTCTCTTTATTCTCTGACCTCTGTGTGTGCCAACACACATACACCACACACACACACACTCACACATACACTCACACACACACTCACACACACATACACTCACACATGCATACACACATACACTCACACACACATTAAATGAATGAATGAATGAATATAATAAAAATCTTTAAAAAGAAATGCTCACTCTAAAATTACTCATTTAAAGTGTTTCAAACCAATAAGAATGGCATGTGTATCGTGCATGTGGATAGAACATGATCTAATTTTAAAAGAATTTGTGTGGAAAAAGTATGTTAAACATTGAAACTGGCTGAATTAGGTCATCCATAACCTGCAAAAGAGGTGGATTGCCCTCTCCTGTCCCTCACTGAGTAGCAGGTATATTCAGGCAGGACAGGCAAGGATGTGGTCACTTACCTCCTCCTTCCAGGAACTCAGGATATGTTCCACCCTGTAGGCTTATTCCTCCTGACTTTTCCGGTTGAACGTGTCCACAGCAAACTCCACTGTGGGAAGGAAGTAAATAGAGGCGGCCGTTTCCTCATCGGCCTTTGAGACAGGAGTGATGAGGGCCTGGAAGCTCACGAAGAGCAGCAGAAGAGCACAAGGGAGAGTTTTCCTTTCCTGTGCATAGGCCATGGTGCCAGAATCTCACAGTCACTGCCTTGCCTGTCTCAGCCCGTCGGCCCCACAGGAGCTTGCTTATCAGGCCCAGCTCTAGCCCATAGTCTCTTCAGCTCGGGCACAGACTCCACCTTCTCAGACGTCTCTCTGAGTTACACCCTCTCCTATTCTTGTTTGCTCCAACAAAGATTTTTGTTTTGCTTTGTTTTTTGATTTTGGGGTTTATTTGTTTCTGGTTGGGCTTTGGTTTTGTGGTTTTTGTCTGTTTGTTTGTTTGTTTGCATTTGTTTGTTTTTGTTTTTGAGACAGGGTTTCTCTGTGTACCCAGGTTGTCCCTGGAACTCACTATATAGACCAGGCTGGCCTTGAATTTGGAGCTCTGCCTGCCCCTGCCTTCTGAGTGCTGGGATTAAATGCAGGTGCCACCATGGTCTGGTTTTTAAATCACCCCCAGTCCTGGAAAGAGGAACAGGACACCAAACAGGATGTGCTGGAGAGAATCAGCCAATGGGGAAGAGCATACTTAGATGTGGTCAGCCACATCTGCTCCTGATCTTCAATGGGACAGAGAAGCTGTTATCAGAACCCTCCAGATTTGAATACTAAATCTGAGACTTGGCCCTAAGACATATGTGTGTGTTAGTGGAAGTCAGTGAGGCAAGGAGCGACTGAGATGCAAAGAATAAGAGAGGAGAATAAGCTTTGAGTCTGAGGAGGCACAGCTGCTGGAGGCTCATGGGACATGCGCAAAGCCTGCCTGAGCACCACTGGTCTGGGGCCTACAGGATTAGGTTGAGAATGAAGACCACTGTCCTGTATCACTTCCTTGTTGCTTAATAGCTTTGGTCCAACTACTGACAGAGCAATTGCTTGTGCAGTTGGAGGTTCAGTGAGAGACACTGTCTCAAGGAAATAGGTGTGAGCAATAAAGACAACTGACCTCAGATGTGGTCTCTGTGTGCATGTGCACACACACACACACACACACACACACACACACACACACACACACTTTTATTGCTGACCATACATCTTCCAAATGTCCTTAGCAAAAAGGCAATGAAATAAACTTCCTTTACTATAGTTGTGGCACCTGATCACATCTTTTGAAAAACAAAATTTTTAACCATCACCATGTTTTCAGTTCTTTAACTATATATATATAGCTATATATATGCATATATATGGGTTTTATTATATATTTCTAACTCATTGGTAGATGCATGTAGGATAATGACTATGGTGACTTCTTTCTCTATTCTTTTGATTTTATTGTTATGTTTGTTTTGTTTGTTTTGAGAATACGGTATCAGTATACAGCCTAGACAAGTCATGAACTCATAATCCTTCTGTGTCTCTTTCTGAGGTTATGGGATTACAGACATAGAGATAGATAGATAGATAGATAGATAGATAGATAGATAGATAGATGATAGATAGGTAGGTAGGTAGATAGATAGATAGATAGATAGATAGATAGAACGAACATTAGGTTTTTTTTTCCTCTGTCACTTTGCTTTCTGTCCCTTGAGCTTTCTTCTAGCCTCTAATTTTTTTCCACTTCTCATCCTTGCAGTATTCTCAGCAATGGTTTCCACTAGTGGACTCTCGTGTGCCTTGGTAACACGTTGTTGTTAATATAAACCTTGTTGTCTCCACACCCCTTTATGTTGAGTAACCCTAAGCTATGGCCACACACAACCTTTGCCTGTCTCCTTCCTGGAAGTGGGGACCATTTTCTCCCTGCTTCCCAATGGTTGTACATGGTTCCCACCCTTGTCTTTTAATGTTAGATTGTCAACTATGTCCCAAGAGCTATTTCCAGGCCACCATCCGCTGTATAAATGTGGTTTATTGATCCTCGATTACCCTCCTTCATTTATGCATTGCTCATAGCTGTTCTTAAGACACAGGAGTAGCACTGAGTTATTGGACAGAGAGCCCATGGCCCCCAAACACCAAAACAGTTTATCTTTTCATATTTTTCTTCTATAAGTAGTGTGCTTAGCCGGGCAGTGGTGGTGCATGCCTTTAATCCTAGCACTCGAGGCAGAGGCAGGAGGATCTCTATGAGTTTGAGGCCAGCTTCGTCTACAAGAGCTAGTTCTATGACAGGCTCCAAAGCTACAGAGAAACCCTGTCTTGAAAAACAAAAACAAATGAACAAAAAGGGTAGTGTGCTTAACCCTGTCTCAGACTATCCAGATATGGTCTTTGTAGTCTCTGACATATCATAGTACCTCAGTTATTCATGTTAGCTGCATTTCTGGGGATCTGTGACATGCAGTTCCTTCAAGTATGTTGGTCTCCATAGAAGGCAGACCTGGGAACATCTTGACTCATGTCCCTTTCTTTACCCAGAAGAGAGAGGTGTTACCTTGTTCAGAAAAAGAACCATGCTCCTTCTTCACCAACATCTCAGAAGATACACTCTTTCTATGATAAGAGAAGTAAATAATCAAAACTGGCAAAAATTTCCAGGCTTGTTGCCTATATTAGGGAATATACATGAAAGACAGAGTTCTAAGTTCTGAAGCTTAGACTGAGCGTGTGCCCTGGCCAGCCTGAACAAATTGTTAGGGCAAGGAGAAAGACTTTTTAGAGAGTTGACAAACTGAAAAGATGTAGCCTGTGACCAACAAAGACCACTTGCCTGGATGTTGTAGGTACAAGACTTGCATAGAAAACTGGCAAGGTAAGCCAGGCGGTGGTGGCGCATGCCTTTAATCCCAGCACTCGGGAGGCAGAGGCAGGCAGATCTCTGTGAGTTCGAGACCAGCCTGGTCTACAAGAGCTAGTTACAGGACAGGCTCCAAAACCACAAAGAAACCCTGTCTCGGAAAAAAAAAAAAAAAACTGGCAA